AAGGTAACTCAAAATCATTCCTTCTGCTAAATATCTGTACAGATTCAGGTGGCATAACTCCAACTCTGTCCCCTGTTCATGAAGGTTTTCAGACAGATTTGTGTTTAAATAATTACTTTCTTAAGCAATTTCTTTGCTGAGGGATGGTCAGGAGGGGATCAGGCTCCCCAGGAAAGTGGTCATGGCACCACGATGTTCAAGGAGCACCTGAACAGTGCTCTGAGTTGTGTGGTTTAGTTTGAGGTAGCCCTGCAAGGAGCACAGAGTTAGACTCTGATTCTTATGGGCCCCTTCCAAACTGAGATGTTCCACGACTGTAAGAATTTATGGTAACTTTTTTTAATAAAATTACAGTGAGATACTATAGCTATATACTATAACAGATGACATTACAAAGAAGTTAGTCCCATGATAAATTATGTATTTTTTAGTCTGCATTTTTAAAAATATCACTATCCACTAAAATATTGACAAAATTTGGCTGAATTTCAGACTTTGGATACTATAAATGTAAATAAAAAAAAGAACTTAATACATGATTTCAAGGAAAACATTTTTAAAATTCCAGTACATTAACCTTTATAAGAGGTTTTAAAACTGAAGTAAGTTGTATGAGTGATATCTGAAAATAGTAATTATCTTTGCAGATTTTTATTGCAAGCTTCCTCATGCATCAAAACTACCATCAGAAAACTCATGGATGTGTTTGTGAATGAACAGCTTAAGAAAAGCTTCTGTTCCTGAAGAGGGAGAAAGAATCACTAGTACATAAAAAGTTTCTACTTTCTTTAGCAGCAAACAGTGATACATTCTTGCAGCAAATTAACTAAACAGGTAAAGACTTAATGAAATAATGTCATCAATACTCAACCTTTCTGACATGAAGTCTACAGCTGCCTGAACTGTACCTTCAGCTGGTTAACTTTTTCCTGGTCTGAATAAAATAAGCAAGTTCTGCCTTAAACATTACAGCCAACACACAGCTGATGAGGTAGAGAAAGACAAAATCAGTAGTTAATTACAAAGATCATGCCTGGCTGAAAGAACAAACTAGAAAAAATATTTTCAGTGAGAGAGTATGGAACAGCTTGTAATATAGATACTAACACTAATGTAAGTACTGAGTAATTTGTGGTACTTACACACACATCTTTTCATGCTCTTTTCATAATCCCTTACTATCTCCCCTAAAAGCTCTTGAGTGAGCAGCTCTCTATCTTTGCCCTCCATAAGTGGCCGTGGCACCAAGGCGAGCATGGACCTGAGCCACTGCTGCTGGATGGGAACCACCGGATTGCTCTGCACACGCTGCTTCATGAAGAGGTAATCTGCCTGAAAGGACAATATTGACAGAGCTCTAAGAATTGGCAATGTAAATATTTTTGTGTTGGGCTTGACAAAAGTCTCTTTTTATTCACAGCTTTTTATCCGTAAGGGCGGGTGACTTAATCTAATCTTTTCAGTATTCACTGACTAATGCACTGAAATCTACTCTGTGGCTGGTAAAATGGTCTCTCTGTCTCAATGTTTAAATACAAAATATTGTACTTGTTAGTATGGCATTTTCCTTGGTTCTCTGCTGAAGTTTATGGCTGACAATAAAGCAGTTCAAGGTTAAGGTTATTGTTCTTTGGACAAACATTTATCTGGTAAAAAATGTGGACAAACACCCCCCCCAAGGGGAGTGGGTCTTGGCCAAAGAAAAAGGTATTTATGCTTTTGACTGACAGCTTTGTTACAAAAAAAAAGAGATCTGAATCTCTACATCTATGGATTGAGTTTATCTAACATAAGGTAGGAAAAACTGGTGTTACCTTAAGCTACTTAATATAAATATTTCAATACTGATTTGGGTTTCCAGTCTTACTTTAAAAGCTATGCACAAATCTCAGGATTAGTGCCTGTTCCTCAAATCAGGGGAACGATGTCAAAGACTAGTTTTTGTACAGGCTAAGGTACAACCTGTGACCTCAACTGAAATAATTCTGTAGCCTGTTAGATTTTTTTCTTAAGTAATGTCCTTCAGCTAAGGCTAAGTTAAATACTGATAGACATGCTTTATGTAACAGAAAAATACTTTTCTTCTACTGGACCACAAGACAAGACTCCTATTTTGCTCCCATTCCTCTTTTCCCCACCACAATTACCTTTTCCTGTTTAATCACCATTGATTCCATATAACATGCTCAACCCCTCTGAATAGAGATCATTCACTCTCCTACTCCAAAAAAAGCAGACAAAAGAATTTAACTCACTCTTTGTTGGTCTTCCTCATTGTTCACCTGTATAAAAAGCAACAGAAAATTGTTATGTATTCAGAACATATAAACAAAAACATCAGAAATGTAAAATATAACAAATATTATTCCTAAACAGAGACTTTATTCTGTAGGTATATAAGTGTAATTTCAATGGGACTACCTGAGTATATAAATATGTTTATGAACTACTAAGGAATGAGAAAAGTATCTTTACATAAATTCTGAGAAGTAAAATAAGTGCCCCAATAACAAAGAACTAAATAGGTGACACTTAAAATATTAAAGAAATGCTTTCTCACAATGGAAGGCAGTTCTGGAATAGGAGGTGCAGGATCTCTGTGAGATGTTTCTTCCATGGTTTTGTCACAGACTTTAAGAGCTCGATCAATTCTAAAGTAAAACATAAAATCAGAAGTGCAGAAAAACTATAAATAACATATTAGAAATAATCCTAATATTTTAATCAATGCAACCTGGGTTTTGATGATCTTTGATCACTAAATCTCACTACAATTATATTAAACAAACACCATTATTATTTGTCAGGTGTCAAATGTGCAATGTCTCATTTGAATTTCAATATCTTGAATTGCACAAAACTCACAGTATCTGATCAATCATCTCTTGCTGCTCATGGCTCCTTCGGTATGTCAACAGTTTTTTCTGTAATGGTGACAGATCAGCTGTGACTGACGAAGGTACAACAGTGGGATGAAACAAAGTTCTCAAAGTCCGTTTCTTGGGAGGTTCTTCATCTGAGTGCTCCATCTAAAACCATAACACAACCAAGATTTTACAATACAGTCCTGTCCAGAAAGCAGTTTAACAGATGCCTATATTAAGCTGAATGGACATGAGATATAAAATTACATCAACTCAGGGATTTCCACAGTCTAGGTATGATAGTTTAGCTCTCAGAAAACAGACAAGTGGTGTATAGTCTCAGATGGCAAAGTTCAACACACGTGCACACATACAAAGCCAGAGCTACTAAAAAAACATGTTACAGTTTCATTAACTCCAGATTAGTACATTGCATAAAATTGAAAAGTTCTGGTACAAATCTCTCACAGTACTTATTTATCAGCTGTACAGCACACAGAAGACACCAGGAAAGGGGCTGGTTAAACCCCCATCAGACTGCCCCAGGTTGGTTCTGCCTGATGTAGGCACATTTTCTGTTCTCAGGGTGGATATAGGAGTCAAGTTAAGAAGGTGGGAAATTTGGTTAAGACCAGTGGGCAGCTGGGCTGTGCAATAGGAAAGTGGAGACAGGTGTAGGTTTGAAATAAGAATCCTAGTCTGGGGGTGGGGTGAAGGTGTGAAGCAGCTAATTGGGTTTACACTGTTAAAGGTACTTGGAAACCAAAGCTTGATAATCACCTTGTATAAAATAAAAATTAAAAAAAAAAAGGAAATAAAGATAAAAAAGCAAACCTTGTTGTGCCACTGGACTCGGGTTCAACTAAAAGACCACCCTTCAACAGCGGCTTAAGCGGCTGAGTATGGCTATCCCAAAAGACCGACAGTCCGGTTCCCCTGGAAACAGGATGCACAAACTCAGAACCGCAGTTCAACGGGGGAGCAGAAAGCCAAAGCTACCTCCTAAATCAGCAGGATGTCCTCGAAACGCACTAAAACGGGCGGTGGTGGACGCACCAAAAGACACAAAGCTGTCCCTGCCCCACGGAGGGGTCCCCGCCGCCCTCAGCTCTCCCTGGGCCCCGGCTCGGGACAGCAGCGCCGTTACCCCGGGGCCGAGGGCGGGCGGCAGGGGCGGGCCGGGCCGGGCCGGGCGGGGCGGGGCCGAGGAGATCAATCCCTCTCGTTATTTAAAAAAAAAAAAAAAAAAAAAGAAGCAGAGACTCGGAAAAGCCTTACTTTGGCTGTCCCGGTCTGCCGGAGACAGCCCGAGCGCGTCGGCGAGTCCCTGTGCTTCGGTCCCTGCCTGCACCACGCAGATAAAAACCTCTGCGTTCCAGATCACAGCACGAACGCCTGGGGAAGTTTAAGTATTAATATCCTCAGGCATCAGGTGGCTGTTGCTAAGCTTCTGCTTTTTGTACAACTATAAACGGAAATGTGAAGAAATCCCAGAGATTTTCTACCCACTTGCCCATATCTGACAAAGAGTCTTTAAACCCTAATTTTGCGTCTGTGTGGGCAGAGCCCCGCGCGCAGCGATTGCGGGAGCAGGGGGAGGGAATGTGAGGGTCCCTTTTCCAAAGTTCCGGGCACCCTCCCAGCACGGGCTTTTCACAGCCCGGGACTGTTCAGCTTGAGGCGTCAAACTAGACACGAAGTGTTTCCTCGCAAACAGGAAGCAAAACAAAACGCTTGATGTTAAAGGATTTATAAGTTTGCACCGGGGCGTTACGAGGGACAGCCGCCCCCGTCTCGGACACCTGCTGGCCGTGAAGGGAAGGGGACTTCGCCGCTGAGGGAGCGGAACCCGGCGGTTCTGCGGGCGGCCTCCCTCACACCGTGCCGGCGGGTTAATGGCGGGCAGGGCGGCGCGGGGCCCCGGAGCGAGCGGGCACCGTTGGGCGGGTACCGCCGAGCGGGCACCGTTGGGCGGGTACCGCCGAGCGGGCACCGTTGGGCGGGTACCGCCGCTCGGACACCGCTGGGCGGGCACCGCGCTGGGGCCCCGGGAGGCAGCACCGCCCTCACGGACCCTGCCTCCCGCCCGGCCCCGCCCCGCTGCGCGCGCCGTCACGGTGGCCCCGCCCCCGCGCGGCGGTTCCGGCCGCGCCCCGCGGAAGCCGCAGCGCCGCCGGGTCCATGTGGCGCCGGCTCCGCTCCGCCCTCCGGAGCCTCCGCGGCTCCCCCGCCGTGCCCCCGCCCGGCGGCGGTGGTGGTGGTGGAGCCGCCGCCGCCGCCGCCATGGAGCGCGCCGTGGTGCGCTGCGTGCCGTCCGAGCCCAAACTGAGCCTGCGGTTCGTGCTGCCCGACGGCAGCGCCCGGCACATGCAGCGCGACCAGGGGGAGCCGCTGGGGCGGGCGCTGGCGCGGATCGCCACCAACGCCGCCAAGGGCCACGGCAAGGCGGGCAAGAAGAGCAAGAAGGCGCGGGCGGAGGAGGGCGCGGAGGGCGGGGAGGCGGCGGCGGCGGCGCCGGCCGTGCGGTTGTTCTCCCGCGACGGCGCGGCGGTGGCCGAGGAGGTGCCGAACGCGGCCGCCTGGCAGGACGGGGCCGTGCTGCACATCGGCACCGCCCGGTACCGCGTGGAGCGCAACCCGCCCGCGCTCACCGAGCTGCGCCTGCCGCGCTCGCTGCTCGCCGGCTTCCCCGTGTGCCCCAAGGTGAGCGCCGAGTTCGCGGCCCCGCAGCACTGCCTGTTCCGCTGGTACCGCGAGCAGCGCCCCGCGGGCGGCGGGGACGCGCCGGGCGAGGCCTGGGTGGAGGCGGCGGAGGGCGAGCGCGTGTTCACGCCGTCCAACGCGCTGGTGGGGCTGCGGCTGAAGCTGCGCTGCACGCCCGGGGACGGGGAGCAGCGCTACGGGACCGCACGGGAGGTGGAGAGCAGCGGCCCCGTGGAGGCCGGGCCTGGCGCCTGCACTTTCGACAACCGGCACCTCTACACCAAGAAGGTCTGCGGGCAGGGCTCGGTCCGCGCCGTGTCCTACAACATCCTGGCCGACACCTACGCCCAGACGGAGTTCTCCCGCACCGTGCTCTACCCCTACTGCGCTCCCTACGCCCTGGAGATCGACTACCGCCAGAACCTGCTCAAGAAGGAGCTGGCGGGATACAGCGCCGACCTCATCTGCCTGCAAGAGGTGGATAAGTCTGTCTTCGTGGACAGCTTGGCCCCGGCCCTGGATGCTTTTGGACTCGAAGGGCTGTTCAAGATTAAGGAGAAGCAGCACGAAGGCCTGGCCACCTTCTATCGCAGGGACAAGTTCAGCCTCCTCAGCCAGCACGACATCGCGTTCAGCGAAGCCCTGCTCTCGGAGCCGCTGCACAAGGAGCTGTGCGATCAGCTGGCCAAGTACCCCCTGGTGCAGGAGAAGGTGCTGCAGAGGTCGTCTGTGCTGCAGGTACCACCTTTGACAGGCCTTCTTCCTTTCTTTTCTCTTTCTCTTCTGGCCAGGTTTGTTAAGACTCAAACCACAGGAGAAGAGAGGTGAGGGATTAACAATCTGAAACACTGAAACTATGGTGTGTCCTCTGGGGTAATGCATAGAGCAAATGAGAACAAAACATTGAGACTTTGCTGAACCCGATATATGGAATTACCAAAATTTGGTAAAAAAAAAGGCAGTATTATTTTCTTTGAAAGTGAAGACAGCTGTTGAGATTCTGGGCCAGGTAGTGACTCCTGGTTGGTGGTATTGCTGTCAAGTTTTTCACTACTTACTCTCATACGTCAGAATGCCTATTTTTTAAGACTTTATTATAAACCTATTTTAAATAAGTTAATTGCCACTTTAAAAAGTGACAGTAGGGAGAGAATTAAGGTTGGACATGTTTGTGAGCTTCCTGATGCCAGTGGCTCTTCCAGCAGAACCATTATGCAAGTACAAATGTGTAAGATACAGATCTGTGTCAGGAACTTCAGAAGCATGCAGTGGTAAAAGTTTTGTACTCATGGACTGAGTAGGACTAACAGGATTTCTGTGATAACTGAAATCACCTCTAAAATTCAATTTAACAACTATGCAATGCTACGGTTTGCTTGCTAAAACCAGAGGTTTAGGTCCAGTTCTGTTGCAGAGAGAATTGGTGAATAGAATTTAGAAGTAGTTAAGAATGGTACAGCATTAACAACATCTTATGAAAAAATATGGCCAAACCAGACACAATCAAAAGCATCTTCATTAAATACATGGATGTAGTGGTAATATTTTGATTGATACTGAGACTTTATATAGAAGTTTAATGAAAAGTACAGCTCCTAAGTTGAGTTTATTTGTTATGAGTAACTGGATTGTCATAAAGGCATAAGCTGTTTCTTAAAATATAACCTCTCAGTTTAAGACTCACCAAAGACTGCTTTTTCTCTCAAAGGTTTCGGTTCTTCAGTCTACAACTGATCCTTCCAGGAAGCTTTGTGTAGCAAATACCCACCTATACTGGCACCCCAAAGGTAATTTTGGCATGTTCCCACATGTAGGATAACTGGCTTTTTAAGAGTTTTTGCCTTTCCTTGGGAGGATAGATTTCCCACCGTTCTTTTGCAGCTATAACCTTTTCTTCTGGAACTGAGGGTTTCCTGCCTTACTTCTTTAGATGAATCAAGCCAGGCTTCTAGGTCTGTTTATGTATTTATTTTCCTAATCTGCCTGGGAGTCAATAGAATACAGCTGAAAGCAAGGCAAGTCATGTTACACACAATTCACCCAACGAGCAGATCATAATACAGAGATGGCTTTGGGTGTGCTCGTGGCTTCCCACTCCTGTTGTACCTGAAGGGGCTCTACTGGGGTACTGCCAGGAGGGCAACCAGACTGGGCTACAGAAGCTTTTAGAAGACATTCTCCTCCTTTAAGTTTTCTTTTGGGAACATTATTAGGATGGTTGCTGTGAAATGAAAAGCTGCTGTAATATGGATGTTTAAGGTTCAGAGTCCTTTCGTGTCCGAGTTTAAATTAAAGCATTGTCTGCCTCTCAAAAACTTTCATAGTCACAAACTTCAAAGGCTTCTTTATTTGTGGAAACTATTCTAAAATGTAAGATTGCTGTTTCAGAGCTATAACTGATATATGCTTCAATGAGCAACTTGGAAAATTGCTGCAATGCTGTTGTGCAGTATTTGAAATCATACTTTTTTCTATTCTTAGGTGGGAACATCCGGCTCATCCAAATTGCTGTAGCCTTGTCCCACATCAAGCACGTCGCGTGTGACCTGTATCCCGGTATCCCAGTCGTATTCTGTGGAGATTTTAATAGCACCCCATCATCAGGAACTTACAGCTTTATCAGCAGTGGTGTCATTGCAGAAGATCACGAGGACTGGGTGTCCAATGGGGAAGAAGAAAGGTGCAGTATGGCTCTGAGCCACCCTTTCAAACTGCTGAGTGCTTGTGGAGAACCTGCTTATACAAACTATGTTGGTGGCTTTCACGGGTGCCTGGACTACATTTTCATTGACAAAAACGCTCTAGAGGTTGAACAAGTCATTCCATTGCCAACTCATGAAGAAGTAACAACCCACCAGGCTTTGCCAAGTGTTTCACATCCTTCTGATCATATAGCACTAATATGTGACTTAAAGTGGAAATAGAGCAGCTCTGGCATGGTGCTTTTGAGGGTTTTCAAACCAGAAATTTAGTGTATTGCTGAGGAACTGAGGTTACACCCTGACTTGTATGCTACTAAAAGGAAAGCCAAAACTATTACTGAAAAGTTCATGTGTTTAATGGTTCTACCGAATATTATCACACCGTTCAGAATATTTGCATGATAAGTTTCCCCTTTTTTATATGCTAATGGGAAAAATGTATTTAAGACATGGCTTTGAAAATTGGATTATCATATACCTTTTTATTGGTGTTTCTAAAGGATTAAGAATTATTTTATTAAAAACATAGAAATTTAATCTGATTTGTAATACAGCGTACAAATTGAACCCTGTTTAATTCAGAACCACACACAGAATCCAAACCCAAATGGATTTAGTTGATTCAACCTCACTGTAATTTTTAAAAAATGACAATTTTTTAAAAATAAGTTCAGAAATTGTCTCGTTCACTTACCATTACTGTATCCCAACTTTTTAGTAAATGGCATGAACAAATGTACTTGTACCTAAGACCTTCTGAAAATGTGTTCTTAATTTTCAGTGAATAGACTTTCTGACAACAATCAACCATGTTAAATTCAAGTTTATAATTGATATGGAAGCATTTTGCTTGCCCATATAACGTGGGCACTGAGGGTAACATTAGCACCTAGTGAAACCGGACTACGTGTAGAGGTGGCATCTACTTGGAACATCTCTTCCTTCTGTTGTTTTGAGTCATTGGCAAGAAAAGAAATACCAGAGTTTAGGACAACCAGCTTTGGATGGGAGGGAGCTTTTCATCAATATTGTCTGTTTCCAGAGGAGTTAGTGTGGTGCATTAGCTGTCTGTGCCTAAATCTTGAAAAAGAAACACAAGTGACTTGCAAACCTTTAACACAATGTTTCCATTTTGCTCCTCTCTTACATACAAAGCCTGAATTTTTAAGTGTTATTACCTGCATTTTTTCCTTCTAGAAATAGCCTAGTTTTCCTTATTTTGTAGGAGATAATTTGGATGTGAGAAAATGTATTTATCCATACCTTCATTGAATTTGTTGGAGAGAGTTGAGTCATTTAACAAGCTTCTTGCTTTGCATCATTAGTACATAAGAAACAAAGGGAATTTGGAGACCATTTGGAGACCATTTCCTCTTTCACCTAATAAAGCTCCCTGTGTCAATTGTCTCTCACTGGTTTTTTTTCCTACTTTTTTTTTTGTGTCAAAAGCTCATCTGAGTTGATAAAAGCTGTGTACCCTCTTTCACAACTGGTCACCTCCACTGCATTCTGGTTGACTGCAGGTTGTAACTGGGATTCCCCCAGCTGTTCATAGACTACTAAAATCAGGCAGTCCCTTTCAAGTAGCACATTGCTGAGGGGTGTTAGTGCTGCCTCTTGCCATAGCAGTGGCTATGCTGTGAAGGGTGTGCTTTGCAGAAGCTTGTTAACATCTGCTCTTCAGCCTTTTCTATGTTATTTCCAATAAAATTACTACTGGTTTTTGCTACTGTAGTGTCTGGGCAGCTGACACATCGATGCTGATAAACAACTGCACTAGTAAAGCCACCAGACAGATTGAGCTACAGAGGTCTTAAAAGGCTAAAAAGATGCAGGCCCATACATCTCCAACCATGTCCCAAACAGCATGACATGAATAGACAAATCTCACAAACTGTCCAGTGTTTTGTAAGCAACTCTGCACCCAGGTAAAGGCCAACTGACAAATTCCACTACTCTGCAAGTGCAGAAGCCTGTGTTACTAAAGAACTCATGTAAATGTCCTGTGCAAGCAGCTTTTTCCAGCAACATAAGCAGTTAACCTTCCCTCCTCCTCTCATCCCAAACTCTTATAACTGACCCTGCTCTACCTCCTGTGAATTATGGCTTCTTGCTCATGCCACACCAAACTGAAAAAGGGAAGTGATCCAGCTAAAAATACAGGGCTTTAATTCTCTTGTATTATCATTTTAGTGGGGTGTTATATCCTGAGCTGATTCACCATAAAGCCTTTTGTGGCCAAAGAACAAGATACAGGTTTGGAGGTGGGAATAGGTGATCAAGGTTTGAATCAAGACTTTCACCTGCTTAAGCAGATCCAGCACAAAACATAACCCAAGACCTCGATGAAAGGGAGCTCATTTATTCCAGTTTTGCCAGACTTATATTCCCTCAGATTCCAATTTTTGCTAAGCCAGAGTTCTAGTTAAGCCAAATGGTAGCTAAAAGCCTTTGGATAAAAAAGGGAAGCAAAATGGAATGTGGCAATGAAGGATGTTAGATCATTGCAAGAGTGGCAGACAGTACTCACCCTGTAAAACTGGATCCTAAATACTTCAGGTGGGTCCTTGATTAGTTTCTCTTCTTCCTTAAAAAGTGTAATTCAGTCTTGCATATGAGTTGAAGGTACTGTCTGTACTCTTCTAAACCACAAAGGTGATAATAAAAGTATTGGTGATTCGTAATTAAACTTTAAGATACACAAGTGAGGAGAAAATCTTGCAAACAGAATGGAGGCTCTAAACCTGGGCAAAGAATTTTTACTACTTTAGTAAATGAGGGAAAGCTTACACCTGAAGATGTAACATTTGCAAGCATATGGCATCTTAAAGGGCAGCAAAATTAATTGGAAGGTCTGTTCAAGAAAAAAATTCAGTATCAACACCAGGGAAAACACTGAAAATGACTGTACTACAGCTGAGTCAGAGGCCTTTTACAAATTGCCAGCTCTGAAAAAAAAAAAGGGGAAAATAACAAACCACTGAGTAATGCAGGCTTGTAGGCTGGCAAGTGAAATGTCTTAGTCACTTAGAATAGTAAAGTTGCAACTGTGAAGTTTGGAAATGAAATCATATTACTTATATAGCTTAACTGAGCACCCCTTATAACTTGAAAGAACATTATTTTCCTCCTTTTTCAGTACCTATCCCTTACAACTGGGTTACTTTGTCTTTTCCAAAGCCAAACCACTGAAAATCTGTAGCTTGTCCCTGGAACCAGAAGATGGAGCTGCTCAGAGAACAGACTTGCCTGGTTCTCTACCTCCCTTCCGAGAAAGACAAGTCCCTCCTGCTCCCTGTGCTGGTACTTGGGCTGCTGCCTCTGTCTCCCTGCTGACCACGGAGAGGGGTGCCCAGGGAAGTTGGAATCTGCAGGAAGCAAGTGGTGAGGGACAAACACGTATGGGCCCGGTAAAATTCAATGGCCCTTGAACATGGCAGATACTCTTTGACTGTGTTCAGGAGGAAACCCAGCCCTGTGAGCTGGTCCTGCAGACTCTCCAGTCCCCTTATTCCCTGTTTGATTAGTAAAATACAGCAGCAGAGTCTCACTGCCAATAGCAGCAACATGTCAGGAACCAGTCAGACTTTTCTGGAATAAGAAGGCAGCACTAGGGTCTAGGTTAGGAAAGTCACAATTCCAAAGAACTGTGAGTTTTTGGGGTGAAAGCAACCCTCAGGTACACCTTGGGCCCAGAGCCCCCACGCTCCCAAGCTGTGTTTACCTCTGTGTAAGGTAACATATGGTGCTTCCTACTGCACGTATGGTGACTTTAACTCCCATCTTAGCTCCCCCTACACATCTGGACCTTGCCCAGCAATTAATTATTCCTCTTGAAATCCCATCCAGAACCCAGATTTGCAGAAACCCTATTCAAGCTTTTCTCAATTTTATTCCATAAATCTAAACCCACTTGTATTTGTTCCTCATTCAGCAATTGGAATGCTCCTCATCCTTCACATCAAAAAACTGGGTAGGATATTCTTCTCACGTCTCTGTAAATTTGTGTGTGGGTTTTTTGTTTCTGGTTTTGTTGGTTTTTGTTACTCTACTTTCCCAGACCATCCGTTAAGGAAAAAGGAAAATCTACTCAACTTTCCCATCTCTGATGCATTCAACTGAAGGTGCTGCTCCTGCCTGGCTGTTGTCTCAGGACAGAGGAGTTGCTTCTTTCCCATTGGCTCCTGCTGTGGACAAACTTGTCACTGACAAGAAAATTACGGAACTAAGGGCACTGAAAGACTGATCTTCTGGAGGTAACAGAGGCTTGGCTAGTTCTTAGGCTCTGGTTATTGTGAAATAACACCTGTGTATTTGATACCTACAGAATCAACCAAGGTCTGCCAGATCCTTCAGACTGATCTGGCAACTTAGAACTCATATTATTTTTTTCCTTTATTCATTTCAGACAAAGAGGCTCTTAGGCACCTGTAACAATTAGTACTTGAATTCCTACACATCAGTACCTCTTGTATCACTGCTGTTTTTGAAGGATATAACTCAAGCCTTCAGTAAAATGCCTTTATGTATCATGAAAAGCAAACAATGATGGCAAGTACAATTGAGAGAAGGAAGAAGAAAAGGAAAAGGGAGGAGAAAAATGGTACAAAACAAAGAAGGGGAAAAATACCCAATGTGCTAAGGCATCGAATCTTTCAACACCTCAAATTAATCATGCAGTTGTCTTGTTTCTTATATTTTTGGCATACCAAAAAAAATAAATAAAATTGTTCCAAGTCTTTTCACTCCCACCCAGTAAGAGGAAAGGCCTGAAACATTTCAGTTTTGGCAGCTCAGCTTTATTCATAAGTCCAACAGCAGCATAAAGAATGTAATTTCTTACTCAAGTCCCCTGTCAATACTACTCTTCTCAAGGGTGGGAAAGAAACATTTGGACAAGGTGATGTGCAAAGTTTCATCATGTCACACTCAAATTGCCTTTGTCCAGACCTTTATAGAAAGATTCTTAGACTAGCAAGGGACTCAAATTCTCATTACTGGCAACACCTAAACCTGTGTTTTACACAAACTGGGCCATTCCTGTAAGCAATGAAAAAAATTGAAGCCTGTCACACAAATACTGAATATACTTAAAATAAATGGTGTCAGCATGGCCAAATAAAAGAAAAACCCCTCATCCTTCAGTGTTTTGCTCTCTGTAGTTAAGCTGGTCATCTGATACACTGAAATAAAACCTCCTGTGTACAAATATTACTTGACTGACTCCCCAGTGAAGGTGAACTTGCCCCTTGTTTGAATATAGAAGTTGATGCTACACAAAGAGAAATTTCAGCTATTGGAAGTCAGGATCTCCTGCCATTACAGCAGAATGAGGAACACATTTTTAGCTGTCTTGTGCCTGTCCAAGATTTTGAACTTCTGGGACAACAGCTCAGTTCAGGTATTTGACTTCTGACAGGGAAATGACAAAGCAAGTTAGTACCTAAACTCTTAACAGACATGACAAAATTGGATCTTCATGGGAATTTCATCTGCCTGTGGAGAGCAGGGCTGTATTAGATGTTGTTACTGATACACAACATTGACTTTGTCTTACTACACTTCAGTGTAAACTGTAGCCTCAATCCTCACACAGACTCCATCACTCTAAAATGAAGCTCAAGATCTTCACTACTTTCTGACTTTGAGAAATTATTCATTTTATAACAGAATTACACCTACTGATACACAAAACCAAGCATGATGACCCTAAAATATGGACATTCTATACACATGCTGTAACTCAGAAGCATAGTGGCTCAACTGAGCTCATCTAAATGTCTTTACTCACAAAAGTAATTAAATCTCTACCAAGCAGAGTGTTTCCTTCACAGTAAAATGCTTAATTTGTTTTAAAGTATCTTCTGCTTCATTTAAAGTCTACCTCTAACTTTGTAACAAGCATTGTTTCATGTAACCTACTGGGACCACAAATACCAACCTGCATTAGGGAGAAGCTGTCTCTTCTGAACAAAGTGTTCCTTTTAAGGTTTAATTCAAGGAGCTGCATTGCTAGAAATATGCACATTAACAGCTACTGATCCAATGCATGGGTATATCAGCTTTGGTTAATAAATAATCACCAATTCATTAAAGATGCAGGCAGAACCCTTCTTACCTTACACTGTCTCCTGAGTTTCTATTATCCATTGAAGGCAGTTAATGACCATATTCAAAAACTCTGGAATTTTCCCTGGTTGTGTTCACAGTAAAAACACTTCCTAGGAACTCAAACCTCACTTCCAGGCAGAAGCTGCCCTGGAAGGTGCTCTGAACCTAAACCAGCCTGTGTTCACCAGACTTTGTCACTAGGATTTCTTTGTAGCAAGGGCAACAAGACCTGGGTGGAAACTGAGAGGTGCTAAGCCTGAAACTGCAGTGGAATCATGCTCTGGGTTCCTAAAGGCATCCA